CGAGTTTGGGTTCAAGGATGTACCCGCTACCCATTACTAAGAATGGAAGCGGCGCGGGCACCTACTAAATTTAAACTACACATACTCGCATCCGTTTAAAATTTTATAATCCGTATCCATTTTAAACTCGTTTAAATACTCATTTAAGTATTTATATCTAAACCCGTTTAAATTTTTACTACCCTTTTCTACATCCAAAATATATTTAAAGTACCCTTACATGGGTAGAGTACTCGCGAATTTTAATATCCAAATCCGAACCTATTTAAAATGCAATTTTTACTAATAATGAATACAATCTTGCGGGTACCCATTGTCAAACTCATTTAATATAGCGAGTAATAGGTATCTAAATAAAAACCTACATATGTTGTAACAGTCCTGCTTCTCGGTCCTCACCCGTTAACCCGAAAGAACGAGCCGAGACGCCGTACAATCTGGTTGTGAACTATGTGGCCTGTCATGCGATATCATATTGTATGCAAATATGAATATAAAAAACACTCCCAATTAAACTTCAACTTCCAATATCTCCAACTAATCATGAGAACACAATAACACTTTATATATCTTTGGCAGAATTGAAAAATGCGCGCTCAATAGGCATTTTAATATCCAGCAATTAAGTGCAGTCGATGATCTTATCAAGTCTCATGAACTAATGCACACCAACTATAGTAAAATATTTCATCTTCATCAAGTTTCATAAGTATTATTCTATCTCCACACTACTTACACCAAAATAATACATGCTCACTTATATTTAACAATTCACATAAGCTGCAACAAATTGTAAAATTAACATGCCATAAATCTTAATACATGTCATAATTCTAAATTATACAAAACTCTCAAATCTACTATGACCAAATTAATCACTTCCTGCTTTGATAGTACTCGTTCAATCTTCAAGAGTAGCAACCACGGATCTTCAACCTACGCGTGATAAAAATCGACGCGCGAGTATAAAACTAGTGATTGCTCAAATTCACATACTTAAACAAAAGTGTGATGGACAGACTAACTTAAAAATACAAATTTCATAAAAGCATTGAAAATCATAGAATTCAGTAAAGATTTCAACATCAATGTAGCTTTATAGCAAAAATAAACTTCTAATGCATAACATAAAGTAATTTAGTTCAAAATTATCTCTTAACTCGTTTACATTTGAACTTTTAATCACAGCATATCATGATGACTCTATGACTTACCTGCTGTCATTATGTTGTATGACTTATGCACCTTTAGTAACATCATATAAATTATGATTAATAAACCATGCTCATAAAACTGATGGCTCGCTTAAGAATTAAATAAATTAAACTGTAAGCATAATATAGCATTAACTTTCATGATCTTACCTGGCGTTCTTATTCTGTATGAATTCTGCAACTCTTTAATTAAAACTATTGAATATCGCAACGAAATAAAGAAACAAAAGCACATGTTACATATTGTGAGAAAAAAGCATGGTACTCACATATGGAAATGGAAGCACACATATCATGGATACTTTCATTATCATACTTGGCTGCTCATATACTGTATATTATGGCAATTGGTAGTCAATATAACTGTATAGCTCCATAAGGTTATAGTGAAACCAGAAGTGATAAGAAAAAATGTATGAAGACTGGATGAATACTGTGATGACTGGGCTTGCTATGGCCATGTAGTATTAAATCATATCCCAGCTCAACGGCCTGTAGCCGGAGTACCAAACTGTGTATGGGGCACAGATCTGCTAATCCTATGTCGCGACATAGGCCTTATCTAAGTGGTTTCTACCTAACCTCAATGGAGCAGTATTATTGAATGGGTGCGTGATATATATAAAAGCAAAAAGCATTAGAACTGGCGTCATATTTGGCATGCTTGTGTCATGTATTTTTCACAGCTTGTGTCATAAAATTAACTGCCTTCATAATTCATAAACCTTACTGGCTTACCTGTATGCTGATAGCCTCGCCAACGGGCAACCTGTTGTCAGGGTAGTTTCACACCATTTGCAATCTGCTATTCTATGTCGCAACATAGCCTTATCTACATGGTTTCTACCTAACCTCAATGGAGCTTAATATTAGCATGTCAACAATGTAACACAATAGCACATTAATGGTTTTACAACTTCATAAATCAAAATGTTTATTTGGTTTCACATCATTTGAATGCTTGCATGTTGTTTTCATCCATGTTCTTATGTTGCATTTTTGTTTTAAAATGATTGAATGCATACATGTTGAACAAAGGAATGCAATTGCATAGAAAATGACGTCGAAAAGAGCATTGAAACATAAGTCGCGAGCGCGCCATGCCAGGTCGCGAGCGCGAGATGCACACAAGAGGGTCAGAGTGTTTTCTGGCCAAAGTCGCGACCGCGCAATCAAATTCGCGAGCGCGAGGAGGCAAGTGCGAGAAGCACAAAATGAGAGTCAGAGAGTTCACAGGCCAAATTCACGAGCTCGACATGAAATTCGCGAGCGCGCATCGTGTTTTCCAGCCTGTGCAGTCTGTACTATTTTGGTCATATCTCTCAATTTATAACTCTGATTTGGGTGATTCAAAAAACCATTGAAAGCTAACACATAGAGGAACAAATAACTCTTTTATGCCACTTTCTAATTCCATCATTAAATAGGGTCAAAATCATGGTGAATTTACTAGTTACTTTTCCAGTAAAACCTGTTTCAGTAAAAACTCAATATCTACTTCATTTATTCATTTCATCTCATGCTTTTTCACCATTTTCAGTCTTCTTACTCAACATTAAACAACTTCTTACTCACCTTAAGCAAATATCTTCTCTATTATCAACCAACACACTTACCAAATTCTTCAATGCAAGGAAATGAAATTAAACTAAAGAGATAAGCACACCTTCCACTCCAAAAAGCTTAAGCTCTTCTTTTAGCTCCCTTTTTCTTGCTAATCTTTGAGCTCACCTTCTCCTATACATAAGAACTCTTATGAATACTCTAAAAATATCACCAAATGATTCAAGTATGAAATTCAAGAAGGTTTACTACTGGATAGAATAAGAATTGAATTAATGCTTACTCCCATTAAAATCTTCCCTACCATTCAAAAGTGATGGAAGAAAGGAAAGGTGGAAGAGGAAAGTAGAGGAAGAAGTGAAGATAAGGATAAGAAATGCAAAAAAAAAAAAAAAAATGAAATGGGACCAACGGGTACATCTCCAAAATATCATTGATTTTTATGTGAAAAATTACCCAAAACTGGTAACCTCAAGTGTCAAAATGCGTACAACTCAAGACCTCACTTTATATTTTAGTGCAAGCAAGTCTAATCCTTTATTAAATTGATTTTTTTGTTTTCCTTCAAGTAAGTCCACTTTCTTTTCTGATTTCAAAATTAACCGTCCCATTCTACCCACTTTGACTCTATAGCTCGACATCGGGTTTTGGATCAGCCCGACTCGACTCTAATTGGATCAGCCCGACTCGACTCTAAGCAATGACTCGATTCAATAGAAAAATGGGACGTTACATATGTACCCTACTCGCATCCATTACGGGCAATAGTTTTGTTACTCGTATCCATCGAAATTCATTTCTAACTACCCATATCTTTTTTAGATGGATCGGAGTGGACGAATACTCTAAATATCCCTACCAATTCCATCATACTTGTTATCCATTTAATTAATATTCCAAAAATATTTAAAATAATTATTTTTTAAAAGAAAATTATATATATATAAACCTTTTTAATTATAATAAATGCCTTATATTTTAATATTTATATTGTATTTTTATTAATTTCAAAAATAAATATTATAATTTTATTCACTTTTATTTTAAAAATAAAAATTAAATATTTTTTATGCTAAATGGATAAATTATAATTTTATAATTTTTATTCACTTTTTATTTTTAAAAATAAAAATAATATTTTTAATGCTAAATGGATAATTATAATCAGGGTTTGGGATAAGTTGTAGTGCTAAAGGTGGACTTTTAAAATAGTGTAAAATGGGTTGAAATAACTAATTTACACAATTAGGTTCGAGCGAGTAGTACGTTCTAAACGGTATCCAACCTGTTGTCATCTCTAGAGTAGAGTGTTTTTTATCATTTTAAATTTATAAAAAAGTTAGAGCAAATAACCTTTTTTATAATAGTCAAAGACGAGAAAGAATTTTTTTTAAAAAAATAGTAAATGACACATTATTTTTTCATTATGTTAATTTATTTACATTTTTTTTATCAAACTTATTCATATAAATTATTTATATTTTTTAAAATTGTCTTATATTCATTTTTATCATCTTTATACAATTTTTAATTTATCAAAAAAATAACTTAATTAATAAGTAAAATGATGTAATTATTTACAGTCTACAGATAAAATATAATAAATAACCAATAAAATAAAATTTAAATTAACTTTAAATCTAAAAAAATATAACTCTTTCGTAGTAAATCGTTTATATGCATTAACTTGAATAAACAATATCATTATTAAATATAATTATAGTACCAATGATAATTAGAATGGTATATGTATAAATTATTTTAGAAAATAATTATTTTAAATATTAGAATATTTATTTAAACTCATAATGAATAAATGTTGTCTGAATTTTAAAACTTTATCCTAATTCGACATGAGTAATAAAAATACTATCCAAATTCATTTATTCAATATTCGAACCCTGATTGGATATCCAAATCGAATTAAACCAAATCGAATTGAGATCAGAAAATACAAATCGAAATTTTTATCAATAGAACTAACCGAACCGGTCAAGCCAATTGATTTTGATCGGTTTTAACATTTTGATTTGATTTTAAGCTCAAACGACAGATTTGAATGAATTTAAATCGAATAAAACATAAATTCAGTTCAAACTGAATAAATCGATAATCGAACATCTTTTTATTTAGCTGACCGAACTGAAATGAATCGGTTCATTTTTCAGTTCGTGCGGTAAGGTTCCACACCCCAAATTGCATCTCTAAAATTACCGAGCTGGGATAATCAATTATGTTTAAATTTTGTATCATACGACACCGAATGAGTTCATCAAATACGGTTTAGCAATTTCCATTGAGAACCTCTTGTAATTCTGCATTTTCTTGATGGAGTTGAGAGAAACATTTCATGCCATGCTCTAATTATATTGGGATTAGGTTTAGTTTTCTTCCTCAGAAGGCTTACCTGTAAGTAAAATGGAGAAACCCTGCAAATTACCAAAAATTGAAAACTCAACTTCGTCTGACAATGTGAGTACTCAATTCAATTCATCGATTCCTAATTTTTCTTTTCAACTGATTGTTATATGCGGAAGGTCTGCAATTACTTTCTTTGAACTTGTTCTTGTTTACTATTGGTGTAGGATATCAATTCGAAGACAAGAGATTTCATTAGCGAGCTTCCAGATGATGTTCTTTATTCCATCTTGTTGAAATTGCCGTTGAGGGAATCTGTTAGAACCAGGGTCCTATCACATAGATGGAAGCATGTCTATGCATTCCCATCCATTCTTGAACTTAATTGGTTAAACATGGGTCAAAACCATGACTTCTTGGAAGAAAATGAACATCCTTGCAGAAATTGTGAGGAAAAATTTGTAAGAGGAGTTAATCAGTACCTAGACTTTTATAAGGGTACATGCCTACGCTCTTTTAAGGCCTCCTTTTGTCTTGGGCATGGTCCCAAATCTGATATTGATAGATGGGTTAATTTTGCAATCAGAATGGGTGTTGAAACTCTGTCTCTTGATCTGTACTGTGAAGCGTCCAGTCGCAATCCTACTAGAGAAATGTTTGGAGAACAATTAGAAAGAAACTATGTTTTTCAAAGCAGTCTTCTTGAGGGTGCAAAACTCAATTTAAAGAATTTGCGCCTGGTTGCTTGTCGCCTGGGAAGAAATTTCACCAACCAATTTAGTTTCTTAGAGACCCTTACCTTGGCTTATTCACCTTTAGCGCGATATGACCTTCATACCTTATTTTCTTATATGGTCAACCTCAATCAATTGATCTTGCTTGCATGTAGCCTTCCTGTAAAGCTATCCCTCGGTTCATTACTACTTCTCAAGAAATTCTGTCTTACAGGTGGCGCTGGGACAAAGGAACTTGAGCTGTCTAATCCCAAGCTTTTACATTTCCAATGTATGACTCGTGAAGCGATTACAGTCAATTTAAGTGCAGTTCCTAACTTGATTACATTGAAGCATTCCGTGGATAGTACAGGAATCCGCTATGTTTTCACTCATGTTTCACAAAATCATCCTATGCTGAGGACCTTAACAGTTTATAGTAGATGTGATTGGGTATGTGAATAGGAATGGAACCATTAATGAGGGATTAGAACATTTAATGAGGGATTAGAAGGAACAATTGTTTTACATTAAATGCTTGTTGATAATACTTGCTTTTTTCTCTTTGCAGGTTCAACATATACCCGGAAGCATAAAACCCTTCAGTAAAATTTATTCAGACCAGAGCTGGCTCTCATTGCCAATACAAGTTTTGCAATTTTGAATGATTTCCTTCTTAAGGCCTTTCCTTGTTTTGGTTTCGTTTATTTAGCTTGGTGGTGAGTGATTCAACTATCTATTTTATATTGTCTAGTTTCCCCTATTGATGATGTTATTAGCATGGTTCTTTTTGTATTATTGTGCTTAGTGGAATTTAGGATCCAAGCTCTCTCTCATCTTCTATTTTTCTCTAAAATATATAGAGAGACTACCTTGAAATTTGTTACATAGTAAGGTGTGAAGGTGAGGAAAGCTATGGGTCTTAATGATAAAGAGAATATGGTAAAGAGTACTAAAGTTAAATAAGTGGTGTTGTACATATTAACATATTTATGGATAGACCTAAGAAAATACTATCTAATATATGCAATTCATCATATAAAACAATTGAAAAAAGTTTTATCTTTGCAAATAAATCATTCATGTACGAAATGCCTGAGGAATTTCGATGCAATTAATGCACATCGTTAAGAAAATGACATGTATGTGCGTAAACACATGAGAGGTATGTTTGTATGCAAAATACTACAATACTTTGAGATCCTTCACATATGTTAAACTATGATAGATTGATAAGAATATTACTATTTTTTTTCACATATGTTAAACTATGATAGATTGATAAGAATATTACTATTTTTTTTTCCATTTTTTAGTATGATTTCTTGAACAATGCAAAGAGAAAAAAAAAGAAAAAAAGAAAGAAGAGAGTTGGGAGATAACTTATAGGTGCCTTTACCTTTACTACTTCAGTCAACGAGTCTGCACAAAGTATGATAAATCATGGATGTTAATATACATATATATGAAATGAGTAAATAAATTTAAGTTTCTTAAATATACTTAAAATTCATTAGTTTTAGTACCTCATACCTTCGTTAAATTTACCGTTTGTATATATGAAATCAGTAAATAAATTTAAGTTTCTTAAATATACTTAAAATTCACTAGTTTTAGTAGCTCATACTGTTGCTAAATTTACCATTTGTTTGCAAATCCTATCTTACTGAATTTAAGTTCAACCAAAACCAATTCTAAATGAATATTTGTTTATAGAATAGCTTCTTAATCTTCATTTCCATATTCTATGGAATTATATATACATTTACTTGCATAGATTAATTTCTGAATTTGAGTTTTCATATGCACTCAATTAATGCATAGGTAGAGGAAAGCTCTCAGCTTCTGATATAATGTTTTCAGGTTCATTTTGTTTGTAGCATCTCTTGAACACTTTTGTTATGCAATTTGGAACAAAATTAGTAGAAATGTGGAAAAAAGACTCAAAAACACAGTGGCAAATACAAGGCCAAGATTTTTCTCCCAAAAAAAAAAAAAAAAAAAAAAAAAAAAAAAAAAAAAAAGGAAAATACAAGCGCGAAGAATCACATTTCGCCCTTAAACTGTAAAATTTAAAAAAAAAAAAAAAAAAAAAAAAAAGGAAAAATACAAGGCGAAGATCACATTTCGCCCTTAAACTGTAAATTTATGTGCATTATGCATTCTGACATCTTGGCATTAAAACATATTTGATTATGGTTTTATGAACATGTTTTTGGTATTTGATAATAATTATTTTAACCTAATTTTTTTATCATCGTAGACAACATGTTCAAAAGACGAAGAAGGAAAGCTCCAGCCCAATGAATACATTTATGAACATTTGAAGTATGTTAAGCTTGCTGGATTTTATGGAACCCCAAACCAAATTGAGTTTGCTAAATATTTGTTGAAGAATGCTTTAATCCTTGAGAGATTGGTCATCAAGCAAGAAGAAGCTTTTGTCAGGAAAAGGCCATCATGGGATGAAGGAGAACGCCAAATGGTTATCGAGACGCTGCAAGAATTTTCCAAAGAAGTAATGCTAATTGTCAAGTAAGCATTTAGTGACAATTCAATTGTTCTCTAGTGTTATGTGTAACCAAAGTTTCTTTGAAATATGCAAGACAAAATTGTCACTCAAATTAGCTGAAGTCTAACCGAATATAATGTCAATGGTGGGAGAAAATCAAATTGGATTCTGAAATTTATGCTTTTGTCAGCTGAGAACTCTAATTTTCATTTTAATAATTATCTCTCCTTTCATTTTTTTGCCAATTAGAGAACAGGTTGAACAAACTATGTAGTTCTTAATGATATTTTTAATTCTTAATCATCTTCAAGATCCATCACAAACTATGTAGAATCTAATTTGATGGGCCTTAATCACCACCATTCCGAATTTGCTACTGTTCTTCATTCCAAGCCTCTGTTTCTCAGAAAATTTAAACCCGTGAAGTGAGCTCTATCCATATTGATCTTCTTGTTTTTAGTTTCCTTCAATCTTTCTTTTGTTTGCTTGGTAGTTTTTGATTGCTCCAGCGGATATGTGGAGAAATTCTTTCTTTCTTGTTAAACTTTTACGGGTATTTTTTTGGGTTTTCATTTTGTTGTTTGATTTGAGATCCAAAAGTAATAACAAATTTTATTTTCAACTCCATTGAAGGGTTTTAGTTATGACAGATTTTCTGGGTTTGTAGAGCTGAGTTTCTAAGTTTTGGAAATTTGAGTTTGTAGAATTGCCACGTTGGATACCTTTTCCTTGTCTCACTCTCTTCCCGGCGAGTGACCACACACTCTTCATTGCCAGCATGGAGAGGGGTAAAATGTTAATGAAATTTTACTGTTCAAGGTCATGATGGGCGGTTTATAAAATTTAAGGGCCACAAGGTTTTTTATTGCAAGTACAGCGATAATAATATGCATTTGGCCTAAAATAAAATGCTGAGATTTGTTTTAAATAATTTTTCTAACTGTGTTTGGCAAAATTAACTATTTTACTCTTGTTTCATCAAATGTTGATTTGGATTTTGAATATGATGTTTATTTGGAAATAATGTTTGGAGTAAAATAAAATATTAAAATTTGTTTTAAATAATTTTTTTAGGCTATATTCGATAAAATTAATTGTTTTACCAGTGTTTGATCAAATATTGAAAGGAATAACATTTTATAATTTATTTTCTCGGACTTTAAATAATAGTATAAATGTTACGTTATCTAACATTATGAATAATATAAGTAAACGTAATGTTAAAAGTTTCATTCTCTCAAAATTTAAATAATAGTATAAATATTACGTCATCTAACACCGTGAATAATATAAGTAAACATAATGTTAAAAATTGTCGCCTAAAAACGGCCTTAGTGTATATGAAAGCTGAATTAACCTTCTCTTTGTTCAACATTATATTTTTCTTTTTTTTTTCAAAGAATTTTAAGTTTTTTTTCTTATTTTTTTTATTTTGATGTGTCAACTTAATTGATTTTTTTAATTTAATTTTTCAAAGAATTTTAAGTTTTTTTTCTTATTTTTTTTATTTTGATGTGTCAACTTAATTGATTTTTTTAATTTAATATTTAATATATAATATGGATAATTGATAACTTTTTTTAAATCTAATCTAATGCAACGATTTAACCTAATCCAACAAAAACTTTAACTTTAAATTTTTGAATTGTTTTAAGTTTAAAAAAAATTGAGTTGTTTTAAACTTTGAGCAAAAGATACCTAATGGTTAAGTATTCAGGAAGTTCTTTTCTTTTTTTTCATTTTGATAATTTTTATGATTTGAATACAATAGATTGGTTGAATTTGTAAAAATATTATTTATGTTTATTGCTTTTAATTTATTTAAGAAGGTGAGTTTATTGTTTTAAATTTGTTAGGGTAGAGTAGGAATGACAATTTTACTCGATCCAGTTTTGACAATTCGAATAGTGAATAAACAGGTTGGGACTAGTTTGGCTAGTATTTTTACTATTCGTATTGGATTCGGGTTTGGTTCAAATTCAAATACTCGAGTACCTGCTACCCATTTAATTAATATTTCAAAAGAAAATAATTATTTTTCAAAAAACATTGTATATATACACCTTTTTAATTATAATTAATGCTATAATTATATTTAATATTTTTATTAAATCAAAATAATAAATAATAATTTTATTCAAAATAATAATTTTATAATTTTTATTCACTTTTTATTTTTGAAAAATAAAAATAATATTTTAATTTTAAATGAGTAATTATAGTCGGGTTTCAGATGAGTTCAAGTACTAAAAGTGAACTTCTAAACAAGTATGAGACAAATCAGATACCTAATTTACAATCGAATTTGAGTAGTGCATTTTAAATGGGTTCTTAACTTGTTATTATCCATAGGATAGAGTGTCTTTATCATTTTTAAATTTATTGAAAAAATTAAAATAGTAATTTTTTTATAATAGTCAAAGACTAAAAAAAAATATTCTTCTTTTAAAAAAATTAAATGATATATATTATTTCTTTCGTCATATTAATTTATTACATTTTTTGATCAAACTTAATTTGTATAAATTATTTATATATTTTTAAACTTTTCTTTATTCATTTTTATCATATTTTATAAATCTTTTGATTTGTCAAAAAAAAAAAAAACTGCATTAACAAGTAAAATGTTGCAGTTATTTATAGTATGCAAATAAAATATAATAAACAACTAATAAAATAAAATTTAAAATAACTTTAAATATAAAAAACAATATAGCTCTTTCATCGTAAATTATTTATATGTATTAATATGTATTAATCTGCACAACGTGCATGTATACAAAATAAATAACATCAATATTAAAAATAACTATAATACCAATAATAATTAGAATGGTACATATCATATATATATATTATATATACTATAGTATATATATATTGATATATATACTATATATATTATTAATATATATATATATATATAATTTGAAAAAAATAATTATTTTTGAATATAGAATATTAATTAATATATATAATTTGAAAAAAATAATTATTTTGAATATTAGAATATTAATTTAGACGGGTACATGCAAATTTTATCCCAAGTCCATAAGAGTAATAGAAATACTATCCAATTTCATTTATTTAAGGGAAAAATTATAATCGTGCCCTTATATTTTATAAAAAAAAAAAATTACTTTACTCTTGTCTTTTTTAAAACATACGGTTATATCTTTGTATTTTCCGTCCGTAACACTATATTCCACTTTCCATCCATTTTTTACTAATTTAGACGTTTAAATGATTGTGAAATGACATTGCTGACCGTGAAATGTATATTTATTAATTTGAGATCTTCTTCATCATCTCTCATCAACAGTACCCTCTTTTTTCTTCTTCATCTCCTCCACACTTTTGATTCACAAGATTTTCAACAGTCAACTCATCTTTTCCAAAAGATTGGCGCTCTTTGTCTACTTCCCATTTTTGCCTGTTAATTTCCATTTTCATCATATTCTTTCCATTAATAAAAACGAATAAATTCCATCTCCGTGTGTTAATTTTCATTTTCGTCATATTCTCTGTATTAATAAAAAAATGAACAAAGATATACTCTTTCTTAAGCAAAACAACTAGAGATTACCACAACAACTTACCTTGAGAAGCTTTATAGCGTGATCAGAGACGCCATTGGAGACCGAAACTACCATGTCTTTTGTCGATCTAGAGTTCCTGATCAATTTTTCCAAAACTATAATACCCAACATGAACTGATCATCATATAATAGTGTTACATAGGCTTGTTGAGTTCTTTGTGATTGAAGCAAAGCTCCTGATTGAATCAAAACTAAGAATTGTGCCTCTTTAAAGTTTTCTCTCGCATATTTGCTAAGCTAAGCTAAGCGAACCTAACCTCTTAGGGGTATTTTGGCAACAAATTTAGTTTCTCTCTCTCTTTATACTGTTATATTCTCGTTTGACTTGTACTTTAAAATAACAAAAATGGGATGGAAGTGGAAAATAGTCTAACGGACTAAAAATACCAGGCATAGCAGTATATATATATATATATTTTTTTAAAAGTAAAGTAATTTTTTTGCCAAATTATAGGGTACGATTATTGACAGAGAAAATAAGGCTATCATATATATATATATATAATCTATATTATATATATAATATATATATTTTTTTAAAAGTTAAAGTAATTTTTTGCCAAAATTATAGGGTACGATTATTGACAGAGAAAATAACCAGGCATAGCAGTATATATATATATATATTTTTTTAAAAGTAAAGTAATTTTTTTGCCAAATTATAGGGTACGATTATTGACAGAGAAAATAAGGCTTTGGAAAAATACAACTCAATTTTCATTAATTGCATCTGATAGTGTTTATATACAAAAGTCGTATATGCTTGTAACATAAGCTTATCTATTTACAGAAATATCCCAATACAAAAGAATTATGTTATATAAATAAAACTATTGTTGGCAAAATTACAATTGTCACTCCCCCTCAAGTTGAGCATATATATTGTTTATGCTCAACTTGCTCAACAACATCTTGAACTGTGTAGGACGCAGAGCCTTAGTGAATAAATCAGCAACCTGTTGATCTGTCTTGATGTGTTCTGCTTTGATAGTCCATCCAAAACCTTTCCTCTCACAACATGACAATCAAATTCTATATGTTTTGTTCTTTCATGAAATACAGGATTTCTAGAAATGTGAAGTGCAGAAATATTATCACAAAACATCATAACTAGATCTTTGTGTAAAACCTAAAAATCTTTTAACAAAATCAATAACCATACAATTTCACAAGTTACAGCCTTAGCTCTGTACTCAGCTTCTGCAGAACTTCTAGATATTGTATGTTATTTCTTAGATTTCCAACTTATCAACGACTCCCCAATAAAAATGCAGAACCCAGTTACAGACCTCCTGATCTCAACATAAGATGCCCAATCACTATCAAAGTATGCTGTTAAATTCAGCTTTGAATTAGCAGACATAAAAAGTCCTTGACCAGGACTTTTTTGAGATATCTCAATACTTTAAATGCTGCATGCAGATGCATATCTGTTGGGTTATCCATGAATTGAGCCAATTTATTCACAGCATATGTCAGACCTTGTAATAGTCACATACATGAGTTTACCTATGAGTTGTCTATATTTTCCTAGATCTTTCAATAGATTAGAGTCAACATGCATCATCTTATTATTGACATCCATAGGTATACTACTAGGTTTAGCACCAAGCAACCCAAATTCTTCAATCAATTCCAATATATATTTTCTTTGGGAAATGGAAATTTCAGCCTTTGATCTAGCTATTTCAAGCCAAGAAA